ATGGCACTCTACCCAGGGGATAGCTTGAGGCTCCGTCTCCAAAAAAAAAAAAAAATAATAATTATTATTTTCAAAAGAAGTTCAAAGTTCAGTAAGTATATTATTTTTTTTTTATCAACATAATTTAAGTGTGCTGTGGAAGTTTAACTATACGTTAAGGTGAACAGATGTCAAAGGCGGGACAGTCCTGATTTTTAACAATTTGTCCCATGTCCCGCCACATTTTAAAAAAGTCTCAATTTTTGGAAGGAATGCAGACAAGCTAGGGAACACCGGAGAACAAGAAGGGAATATACGGTTTTTGGCTGCCATGTGGCTATTTTGCCAGGGTATGAGTTTTATATTACTTTTGTTAATTTTATAATGTTAAACTTTAATAATAACAAATGATTGTTGAGAAGTGATTATGGAGAACTGCTTATCAAAGTTTGCATTGTTGTCAGGCCCCCCTGCCCCCAATGGTGTCCCGCTTTACCAATGTTAAAATCTGGTCACCTTACTATAGGTTCAAGTGTGCCATGAGATAAAAAAGGTTATAAAACACTGCCCTAGGGTCTTGGGGGGTGGGGTGGGTCTGAGTCAGAAGGATCAGCTATTGGTGATAGTTGGTGAGTCCTGGAGAGAGAGGCTACTTAAGCCTGGCTGTTAGGCTTGACTGCTAAAGTCTGAGGGAACGAAAAATAACTAAGAAAGGGGGGGGTGTGTCATTTTGAAAGGCTGATTATACGAGCAGGGGTCCCAAATGGTAGTCCTGCCCATAGGAAGAGTCACAAAGTCTTGAGGTCAAAGTTGGGTGGTCTCCAGTGAGTTGAAAATGGAGCCCTGTACGGCTTTGCTATGACCCCGGTAACAAGTCACCACAAGCTCGGTGACCCGTAACTACAGAAATTTGTTTTCTCTCAGTTCTGGAGGCCAGAAGTCCAAATGCAGTAACAACGGGGCCCCAATCAAGGTATCAGCCGGGCTGCACACCTGTGTGTCTAGGGAGGAATCTGTTCCTTCTGGTGGCTGCCGGTGTCCCCTGACTGGTAGATGAGGTCTTGGATCTCTGCCCCCTGGTCACACTGCCTCCTCCTCTCTCACCTTCTGTGGTGGTCAGTAATCCAGGATGATCTCATCGTTTCAAACCTGGACTTGATCACATCTGCAAACACTTTCCCATGAAAGGAACATTGGCCGGTTCCAGGGAGTAGGGTCTGATGTTTTGGGGAGGTGGTATTTAACACACCACAAGCCCCAAGTCTCCCCCTGTGGAGGGTCTAGACTGGAAGACACCCCAAAAGGTGTTTACCAGAATCCAGACGAGAGCTCTTCCAGAAAGTCGTTTCTCGGTGTGCCTGGGACCTTGCTGTCCCTCTTGTCTGTTTTTTCTCTCGTTTATGCTCTAGTTGGGAAGAAGTATAGAGAGCATCAGAAAAGCTGGGCTAGGCTCGGCCCCTGTGGCTCAAGAGGCTAAGGCGCCAGCTACATACACCTAAGGTGGTGGGTTCGAATTCAACCCGGGCCCGCCAAACAACAATGATGGCTGCAACCAAAAAATAGCCGGGCGTTGTGGCGGGCGCCTGTGGTCCCAGCTACTTGGGAGGCAGCGGCAAGAGACTTCCTTGAGCCCAGGAGTTGGAGGTTGCTGTGAGCTGTGATGCCACAGCATTCTACCCAGGGGGACAGCTTGAGGCTCTGTCTCCAAAAAAAAAAAAAAAGCTGGGCTAGACCGGAGAGACACGACACAGAGAGGACGTGTCTCGGCTTGGAAGGACTCTAGGTGTTCCACGCCACAAGGCCCACCCCGAGTCCCCCCATGTGTAATGTGTTTGCATAAGGCAAGTGAAAGTTTGGAACTCTGGGCACCACTGCCAATCCTGGGATGAGATGATTTACTTCCCAACTGTCTTCTTTACTGGAGCTTGTCAGGAAACATCAGGGCCTGAGAGCTGCTTCTCCCACCAGGCTCCCTGCTGTGCAGACTCCCTGCAGCCCCGCTCCATGCTGGCCAGTCCTAGGGAGGCTTCCTCTGGGCTTGGGGCTGTCTTTCACTCCACAGGTAAGACCCTGACCCCAGACGTCTCCATTCTGCTTCTTTGTTCACCCTTGACAGTCTGTGGTGCCCTGAGCATTTCTCATTGGCTGCACGGGGAGTCACTTTCCCCCTTTGGGACATGTTCACTTGCCCCACAGGCTCACACAGTCAGTCCTGGGGCAGATGATGGGCTGTGCCAGGCTCCCTCATGGTCAGTTCTCAGGAGGGGGATGAGGGCTGGTGCCTAGAGAGCTGCTGAAACAACCAGAACTTTTTCTTTCTTTCTTTTTTTTTTTTTGAGACAGAGTTTCACTAAGTCACCCTCAGTAGAGTGCTGTAACATAGCTCACAGCAACCTCCAACTCCTGGGCTTAAGCAATTCTCTTGCCTCAGCCTCCCAGTAGCTGGGACTACAGGTGCCTGCCACAACGCTGGGCTATTTTTTTTCTTTTGTTGCAGTTGGCCCCAGCCAGGTTCGAACCCGCTAGCCTCGGTGTATGTGGCTGGCGCCGTAACCACTGCCAGAACTTTCTATCAGGCACATGGGCTCATAGAGACAACCTCTGATCTTGGGAAGTGCCAGTTCTCACTCCAGGTCTGGAAAAGCTCTTAATACGCGTGTTGAGCTACACAGCAGAGTGTTTAAGGACTCAGGTCTTGGAGCCAGACGGCCTGGGCTCAAATCCCTGTTCTGCCATTCACTAGCTGTGTGACATGGGATACTTTTGTCAACCTTAGGCCTGTGTGAGCAACTTACAGCCTGGTGGTGGTGTCAGACTTAAGTCCAGGATACATGGGAGAAGGCACGTGAGCTGCTCAGCATAGGACTTGGCACGCGGGACGTGTTCAGTGATATTAGCTGTTATATTACTGATACTTTCCCCGACAGAAGTCGGTAGTAGAAAACCTGACAAATCAATTCAGCACCCACATGTGCTACATATAAAATATTTTATTATAAAAAGCTCAGTCACAAGGCATTCCAAAACATTCCCCACAGTTTTCCTTTTATTTTTGTCATTTGCTATCACACAGAAGAGACTACTAAAGTGTACCAACCGGGACTGTTCTCTTACGCACCATGTGCCGAAGCTCATCGGGCCTCTGGCCGTCAAGGAACCGATGGCATCAGGGGCCCATAAGAGAGCCACCACTGGGACCTCACCGCTTAAATCCCCAAACAGCCCTGTGTCTTTACTACAAAGCTGAGTCGTGTTTCCTAGGACTCCGGTGAAGAAAGCAGACGCCAAACTTGGTTTCTTTTTGAAACAAAACAGCCCTAGTGGACGCGAAACAAAACAATCACAGTCTAAGCCTTTCCTAGCTGGAAAGAGCAGTGTGTCGCCCACGGTTCAGAGTCAGGGAAAGAGGATGAGGAAGATGGCTGTGCCACGTCCTCGATGTGGTCCATGGGCTTGTGGGTTCCAAGGCCACATGGCTTTGGGATGTACCTGTGAAATATCAGAGTCACTCCCGACACTGAGACTCCCGCCCCCCATCCGAGCTGCTGTGTGCATGTCCGGCCCCTCCGCTCACGTGTGGCTGATGTGGCTTCATTCAGTCTGTTGTGCGGACGGAGGGCGAGAGACACAGGAGGGAAACGGCCCGGGAGAGGGGCCCTCAGTCAGGCGGCCTGGTGTCAGGGCCCTTCTGGACATCATCGTACTGTGGTGGGGGTGTCAAAGGCTCAATGGAGGGAGGAGGGACATTTTTGTCCGGGAGGTTGATCCTAAAGTCTTTGAGGTGAAGCTTTTCCGATTTAATCCTTCGAACCTTCAGTGGCTTCAGGCGTTTGGCCAACTTAGAGTTCTGTCTGTCGGGCGGGTTCCCCGGGCTGGTCTCCACCTCAGCCCTGGTTGGGGTCATCTCGTCGAGCCCCGTCAGTGACTCGTAGGAGGGGAGAGAGATGCTCAACCTCGGGTTCTGGTCCACCACCCTCACCTCCGAGTAGTTTGTGTTCATGACTTCCTCGTAGCTGGGGACGTAGTACCTTGAGGAGGCTTCCTCCTCCTCCTCCTCCTGGCTGCAGGATGAGAAACAGAGACACGGAGCGTGTTAGCATGCACACAGGTCACACAGAGGTGAACTCCACATCCCATGTTGGCACTGGCTCCTCACACACCTGCCTGGGAAACAACGTATGAGTCCTAGACATAACAAAAGCTAACGCTGCAACGGTTTACTAAGAGCTGGGTGCTCTTTTAAGTACTTTAACACGTAGGAACCAGTTTCATATTCCTAACAACACTCGGAGCTAAGGACTGTTATTATACCCATTTGATGGATGGGAAAACTGATACATCAAGGTTAAATGACTTGGTCAGACCTTGAGGAAATGGGAGAGCAGGAAGTGAACACCACACCCTCAACCACCACACTGCATCACCTGGGTGTTAAACTTCCCTTCCCTTTAAGCCACTGGTTCTCAACCTTCCTAATGCCTCCTAATGCCGCGACCCTATAATACGGTTCCTCACGTTGTGGTGATCCCCAACTATAAAATTATTTTCGTTGCTACTTCAGAACTATAATTTTGCTACTGTTATGAATCGTAATGTAAATATCTGATATGCAGAATGTATTTTCGTTGTTACAAAGGGGTTGCAACCCACAGGTTGAGAACTGCTTCTTTAAGCCTTTCCCACTTAGCAACATGCCTGGTGGGCTATTTCAACACCCAGCTGGGTCCTTTGGCCAAAGGAAACATAAAAATGTATGAAATAGCTGCCAGCTTGAAGCAAAATGGTTGTCCTTGGGTGGAGAAGGAATATTTAGAATGTACTGGGGAATGCCAGAAAAAGTATGCAAATTTTGAGAGATATTATCTACGTATTACTTTTTGAAGTTTATTTTTTTTTTTTTAAATTTAACTGGGCATTTTCTATTTTGTTTTTTATTTATTTTTTATTTTTTTGCAGTTTTTGGCCAGGGCTGGGCCTGAACCCACCACCTCTGGCATATGGGGCCAGCACCCTACTCCTTTGAGCCACAGATGCTGCCCTTGAAGTTTATTTGAAGGTCAGTTATATCTAGACACACTATGCACGCCCATTTTACCTGCAATTTGTACACTTTTGGGGAATGATGGATTTTACTTCCAACAACATCGCTTGAATTTTTGGCACCCCCAGTCACATTTACATGTACCTCAAATCATTCCTTAATTTTACCTATGAAGTTCACTCTAAAACTCGGAAAGACTATTGAAAGAGAAAACCAAAAAGACAATTTTTACACATTTCTAGGGAGTCACGTCAATAGCCATTGTCCAGGGCCCTACACTTGAACCTGTGGGGTGGCCACTGCCAACATCAGAAACCTCATAGTTCACCTTGAGGAATGAACTTGTGTGTGCTCGTGGCTAGGGTGGGTAATTACGGATGACTGACTTTCCTTCCTTTGTCCTTGTCTATATTTCCCCAGTTTTCTAGAATAAGCATAGTTGATGGCTCATTTACTGAGTCAACTTGACTGGCCACGGGGTTTCCCAGATTAAGCGTTGTTTCTGGATATGTCTGTGGGAGGTGTTTCCAGAAGAGCTTAGCATCTGACGTGGTGGACTCAGCAAACCAAGTCTCCCTCCCAGTGTGTGTGTGGGGGTATCTCCAATCTTCGGAAGGCTAACTAGGCCCTGAGTTGGAGGAAGGAGGGCCTTGACTCTTTTTACCTGCCTTACTGCTTGAGCTGGGACATCTCATCTTCTCTTGCCTTCCGACTGGGATTTATACCATCACTCCTCCAGCTGGTTCAGGCCTTGGGACTCAATCACACCATTCACTTTTCTGGGTCTGCACTTTGCAGATGGCAGATCATGGGACTTTCTGGTTTCCATAATCACATGAGACAATTCTTTGTAATAAATCTCCCTTTGACTGTATCATCCCTCTGGTTCTATTCCTCTGGAAAACCCTAAGATAGCACTAATATTTTATTATCAGAAAATAAGTTTACTTTGTCCAAAGCAAAAACAACTCTCCTCCCGCTATAAAGATAAGCAATGCTTGCAGAGAATTGAAGCAACACTGAAAAATCTAATGAAGAAAATGAAAACAACCCAAATCCTTCCATCTGGAGATTAGCACTGGTATTCACCTTTCCGATCCCGCTCTAATCCTACAGCGACAACATTTGAGGTGAATAAACTCTTACCAGAGATGCTGTGTTAAAACCTTTTGTCAGTGCTGTGGGTGTTGTGGAGGCGGTCCCATAGTAACAAATACACGTCCACAATAGTTGACCAGGACTCCATTGAATGGGCATGTCATAATTTAACTCAACGGATGGATACTTAGGGAGTTTCTAAGTTTTTGCTGAGAGACACCCTGGAACCAGCTCCTTTGCACTTGGGTGATTGTCTCCTTAGGACAAACTCTTAGGGATGGAATAAACGCACACACCTTCAATACCACTCCTTACTGTGAAACTCTTCAGAAAGTTTATGTCCCTCACACTCCATCAGCAACCCTTCTTGGCTACAACTCTTCACTATTACAGGCTATCCTGGAATATGATAGGCCAAAAAAAAATTTTTTTTGTTTGTATTTCACAACTTGAATGTCTATTGGTTGGTTGAACAGGATGAAGTGCTCATTTCTGACCTTTGTCCATTTTCCTCCTGGTTGTTCATCTTTTTTTTTTTTTGAGACAGAGTCTTGCTCTGTCACCCTGCCTAGAGTACTGTGGCATCATCATAGCTCACTGCAACCTCAAACTCCTGGGCTCCAGGCGTCCTCCTGCCTCAGCCTCCTGAGTAGCTGGGACTACAGATGCCCACACCCAGCTAATTTTTCTATTTTTTACAGAGACGGGGTCTCCTTCTTGCTCAGGCTGGTCTTGAATTCCTGGTCTCAAGTGATCCTCCCACTTTGGCCTCCACAAGGGCTGGAATTACACAGAGAAAGTCTTGCTCTTGAGAATGTGGCTGCCTACCTTGGAATTACAGGTGGGAGCCACCATGCCTGGCCTTCATCTTTCATATTCATTTGTACAGGCTCTGTTTATAATAGGAATAGCAACTTTTTTTTTTTTTAATGGCCAGGGCTGGGTTTGAACCCGCCACCTCTGGCATATGGGGCCAGCGCCCTACTCCTTTGAGCCACAGGCGCCGCCCCAGGAATAGGAACGTTTCTCGTCTCTTCCTTAGCTGATCACTTTACCTTTTAAATTTGTTTAAGGCATTTTGGGTCAGACAGAATACCGCTTCCCAACCTTTTCAAAACAAAGAGCATGCTCACACAGTACACCGGGTGAATGGACAAGCAACCAGCGTGGAGGCTCCGGCCACCCAGACCCCTGTTCAGTTTCTTTGGGGATGTCAGGGTCTTGGTAGACCTGTAATCTAGTCATAGCACATTAGTTGGGAAACTCTGGTGGAAACATATAAAGTTATCTATAAAACAATAAACTGTTTATGGAGCTTTAATGGAGAAAAAAATGGGCAGGTAAAGCCTTGTAAACTAAAATCTTTTTGCACGTGTGTAAGTGGGGCCCGTTGGTCCTCACCTGTCCTCCTCCTGGGCATGAGGCCCGGCCCCTGGCTGGTGCTGGGCGTGGGCCATCTCCTCGCCTCGCCGCTGCTTCCTCTTGTCCCTGATGCTCAGACAGATGGACAGCAGCAGCAGCATCACTCCCGCCCCCACCAGCACGTAGGCCACGGAGAAGGTCTTGCTCTTGAGAATGCCGCTGCCCACCTCGGTCTTGTTGTTACCCTGAGCTGTTGGCTTTTCCGTGGCGCTGAAACCAGGTACCAGGTTCCACATGGCCATGATGACCCCAAGGACCAGCATCCCCAGACCGATGGCGGTCAGCGCATAGTGCGAGCCGTTGGACTTAGACTGGGCCATCATGTCAGCAGGAGCAGGGCGAGGCCCAGTCCACAGAAAAGGAACTGATAAATAAAAAGCAGCAGCAGCAGAAACCCCTCCGATCCACTCAGCAAGATCTCCAGAGCCACGCTAAAAACACGCCAGCCGGGCTCTCGAGGGATGGTTCCCAGCAAACGCGAGGCATCCTGGGTGGATGGTGGCAGCCCAGACGTCTGAAAAGAAAGCAGAAAGAGCAGAGAGCAAGATCAGCCCCGACTTTGGATGCTTTTGGGAGCGCGGTGGGCCTCCTCTTAAGCAGCAGCACCAGCTGGCTCCAGCTCGACCTCGCCTTTGATGCGTTCCAGATGTCCTGCATGCTTGCTCCTCGTGTGAGCACAGAGGGAAGGCCGACCCGCCCACCCCCTGTCCCCCAAAAAGGAAAAGCCAGACCTTTCCCTGCAGGAGGCTAGAAAGGTCAGAGCTCAGGTCCTTAAAACATTTTGTGGAATTTAATCAAGTGCAGTCAAATCTCAGCTCTCAGTGGAGATAGCGAGGAGAGTGTGACAGACAGCTGTGGAAGGCCCGCCTGGGAGACGGGGCACCAGCCGGCGGTACATTCCCGTCCAAACAGCCCACTGCAGTCTGTTCACCACCCTAGATGGCTCCAGGAGAAAGTCCAGCTCCCAGAACGATGCTCAGGGTGGCCTCACTGGACTGTGCACGGTCCCCTTCTCCTCTCACCCGCTCTTCTTTGCACACAGCCCTGCAGAACTCAGATTGCCCCAGCTTAGGTGCCCCTTCCTCCCAAAGGGCCCCAACAACCACCGTGGCAAGTCTCTCTCTTTTGTGACCTTATCTTCATCACCTCTGAGCCGGGCACACAGCAGGGACTCAAAAAAGGCCTGTTGAGTCAATGCTGTATGAAATGAACAGAGGCCACACGGGCGACTCAGCAAGACAAGCTTCTCCTCAGCCTCCTTGGGTTTTCCCCTCCTTAAAGTAGGGCAGAAGCCTGCACATTTTTCCTCTTAGCTCCTGTGCGTGGCTGAACCAAAAAAATCACATTTCCCACGAAGTAGCTCAGAGACCCTGCGTCAAAGGGAGCAGCCGGCTGTCCCGGGTGCTGTAGCCATTTGTTGGTTGACAATGGGCCAGAGAAGCAAGCCACCTGAAGGGTTTAGGTTGGAACATTTCCAGGGACCAAGGAGGAGGAATGAGGAACGCCCCTTGCTAAACCACTGCCCGGTAAGTCACTCTTGCGACAAGAGCCTTTGCAAAACAGTAAAACTTCATAGATGTTTAGATGGGCAAGGTCCTGTTTTCAGTGCTGCATACTTTCCGATCTTTCCAAAAGGACGCCTAAGCGGGCAGCTAGAAACCTGATGCTGCAAAGATATTTTCTTGCCAAACCCTGGGCTCCATCTGAAACGGGCCACTTTGTTAAAAGATACTCGAAAAATATTTGGAGCAACATCCTTTATCAGCTTGAAGTCTGTTCCTTCTTCTTTTTTTTTTTTTTTCACTTAACAAATATTTCTCGTGCATCTGACTACCTGCCCAGCAGTGTGCCGGGCGCTGGGAAACACTGCTGGGCAGGTTAGGGATTAATGGGGCTCCCGGGACAGCAGGGAAATAATCTATGAGGAGTAATTAGTAAGTGGGAAGAAAGAATAGGAATTGCGGGATTAGACAGCGGGGGTCCTGACTTGGGGCTAGAAGGCATACAGAAAGCCTCTGTGGGAGAGGCGTCCACCAGCATAACCAGGTCTGCATCCTGAAATGCAGATTGCATATGCATGTGTGTGCACCTGTGTGCGTATGGAGGCAAGTATACGGGGCATGCACACAGGTGCACATTTGTGTTTATGGACATGGATTTGCACATATGCACGCATGTGTCTGGGGCTATAAACACGTACGCATGTGGTGTGCAGGGCATAAAATGAGGTAGACAGCTGTGGTAAGAACAACTGAGAACAGTGCCAGACACAGTGCCTGACAGTATCACTCAGGGCCAGCGAAGGGAACATGGGGGTTCTGGCTGACTTAAGAATGCCTCGGTCCCACCAAATGGATCTGAGACAAGGTGGGACCCGGGAGGCAGAAGGTACACAGCCAGCGGCTCCTGCTAGAAGCAAGAGAGATGAAAAAACACTTCTCGAGAAACCGCTAAGTGCCCCACAGGCAGGGCTTGCGCCTGCTACATGGAGGGTGTGTTCATCAGACTGGCGCTCGGGGCACTTTAACCCCTCCCCTCCTGCTGTGACTCTTTCTCAGCTCACCCTCACCCTTTGCCTTACGTTGCCCGTGAGAAAGGCAGGTCCCACGGGAGAATCACAGGCAGAGATAAAGTCAGGATTAATACATTTTTCGGCCTGATAATGATTAAAAGCAGGCACTAACATCTGGCGTGGGTAAGGGTGGTGGGGTGGGCAATTGCACACAATTTTTTTGGATGGCAAATTTTGGCATTTATAGATCAAAAGTTCCAAAAAGGTTTATACCCTTTGGTGTTGTAATTCTAACTTCTAAGAATTCTGTACAAAGTTGTTCATCACGACTTTATTGTAGTGACAAGCTAGAAATGACTTCAACAGTCAATAACCTGGATTGGCTTAAATTAATTATGGTATAGACACGTATTAAATTATGGTCTCTAAACAGCTAATGATACTATTTAAAATCAAATAACAAGGTTCAAACAATAGTATCTTCAATGTGATTCTAATTTTTAAAAAATTCTTTATACTTAGATGTGTACATAGGGAAAATGTCTGGATGATCACACTTATGCTGAAATAAAAGAGACTGTACACACCACACACACACACGTAAAAATCACAGAGGAGGAGGTCATATTCCAAATTTATACCAACGATTGTTTCTGGGCCTGAAAGAAGCTTTGAAAGTATATCCTTTGCTCTCTATTTTGAATTTCTGCAATCCCAAGGTATCGTTGCAAGGCAATATAGCTAAATGATTAAGAGAGAACTTAGAACCCAGGCTGCCTGGGCTCAGATCCTTCCTCTGTTCTTCCAGCTGTGTGACCTTGGGCAAGTTATTTAACCTCTCTGTGCTTCACTTTCCACAACTATAAAATGGGAAGGAAAAGTCTCTAGTATCTACCTCATAGGGAAGTTATAATACGTAAACAAGTAAATTTACATAAAACATGTAGAACAGTTAAGTTCTTATTGATAGGAAGGTTTGTTATTTAATATTATTTAAAGCCTATATTCTCAACGGGATAAGATTACCCTCTGGGGACTTAAATTGGTTCTTAGAGATGGAGTGGAAAAAATCTGAGATATTACAATGATTTGCAACCCTGCACATGGCCCAAAACATAAACAGGTACGTAGTGTATTCTTGGTATTAAAATTCCACGGAGGGAGGGTGTGTTCCAAAAAGAATGTCGAGACTCCTGGGGGGGGGGGGGACATGGGGGAAAAGATTGGGAAACACTAATGCATCACATGAAGTGTCAAATCACTCAAATTATATGTACCATAATGCTTATAGGTATTTTCTCTGTGTGATGGGATTAATGGTGATTTTAATTTCCTTTTTCTTACTGGGAAAATAAGAATTAGAAAATAGAATTATCAGCTCAGCGCCTGTAGCTCAACTGGCTAAGGCACCAGCCATGTACACCTAAGGTGGCGGGTTCGAATCCAGCCTGGACCCACCAAACAACAATATAGCCGGGCGTTGTGGCGGGTGCCTGTGGTCCCAGCTACTTGGGAGGCAGAGGCAGGAGACTCGCTTGAGCCCAGGAGTTGGAGGTTGCTGTGAGCTG